GGATTTTGGCCAAAAATAAGTTTTCTCTCTGATTAAAATTTAATGTGTTTCTAACTATTTAGGTACGCCAGAATATGCAAGCACCAAGCGTATAAATATAAGTGGCGGTAATTAGCATTTCAAAGTAATTAGAATATTCTAAAATCATTTGAATATTTTTGCTTAAAGCCATTTGAGACAGAATATAATCAAATTCATATTTTGGTTTATTTGGATCATTAGCAGCACATTCAGGACATGTATACTGAAATTTTGGACAAATTCTATTTTGGCCGAAATGAAGAATTGAAGTCTATAGCGGAAAGGATTTTTGTGCCAAAAGTACGTTTCTCTGAACTATGAATAATGCCTATTTATTTGGTACATCAGAATTGCTGTCTGAAATGATAAAAAACCTGGTGGCGAGTAATTAGCATTGCAAAAGTAGTATAGTGTTATTGAAATCATTTGAACATTTTCTAAAAGCCTAGTTTGAGACAAGTTATAATCAAGATATTCAAATTTTTGGTTAGCGGTCGTAATAACCATTCAGGTATTACTATGCTGAAATTTTGACAAAATCCATTTTTTGTCTAAAATACTTGAAAATTGTAGTCTATAGCCTTAAAGGTTTTTTGGCCGAAAAATACGTTTTCTCTGTGAACTAAAATTTAATCTATACTTTTTGTTTAATTGCATCCCAGAATAATACATAAGCACCAAGAATGACCTCGAATTGACCAAGTATAATTAGTATTGCAAAAATTAATTAAATATTCAAATCATTTAGACATTTCTAAAAATACATTTTGAACAGGTTATAATCAGATATCAAATTTTTTTAACGATTTAACTAGCTTTTTATTTATAGTCTAATAGTTTGGACAAAATTGTTTTTGGCTTGAAATGATGAAATTGTAAGTTCTATAATATGGATTTTTGTTAAGAAATAAGTTTCTCGATTAAATTTAATGTGTTTTATTTATTTAAGTACATCTTGAATAATGCAGCATAAAAATGACCTCAAAAGGCCCGTAAGTGGCAGTGTAATTGGCATTTCTAAAAGTAATTAAAATATTCTAAAATCATTTGAACATTTTCTAAAATACGTTTGGACAGAGTTATAATCAAGATATCAAATTTTGGTTAACAGATCGTTAGCAGCACGTTTAAGGGTGCCTATGCAAATTTTGGACAAATCATTTTAAATGAGAGTTGTATATTCTAACTGTGAGATTTTTGGCCAAAAATACATTTTCTTGATAAAATTTAATGTACTAATTTTTAAGTCTCAGATTATACTGGCTTTAGAAATGACTCAATCTATAGTTGTGAGTAATTATAATTGCTAAAGTAATTAAAATATTCTAATCATTTGGACATTTTTCTAAAAGCCATTTGAGAAAGTTGTAATCAAGATATCAAATTTTGGTTGACAGATCGTAAGCAGCTTTTGGAGGTACCTATACTGAAATTTTGACAAATCCATTTTTTTGGCCGAAAATGAAGAAAATTGTAAGTCTAAAACCTTGAGATTTTTGGCCAAAAATACTTTCTCTTGGACTGAATTTAATGTACTAACTATTTAAGTACATCAGAATAATACACAAGCACGAAGGAAATGATATCAAAAAAAACTACAAGTGGTTGAGTAATTGCTTTTGGTAAAAATAATTCATCTTTTGAACATTTTCTAAAAGCCATTTGAATTTATAATTATGATGTCAAATTTTGGTTAACAGATCCTTAAGCAGCATTCAGGAGTGTATACTGAAATTTTGGACAAATTCATTTTTGAAAAAAAGAAATTGTAAGTCTATAGCCTTAAGGTTTTTTGGCCAGAAACGTTTTCTCTCTGAACTAAATTTAATGTTTCTTTATTTGGTACATTCAGAATTATTGCAAGCAAATGTAGATGAAAACCATTAAGTGGCGGGTAATTAGCATTCAAGAAGTAATTAAAATATTCTAAAATCATTTTGAACATTTTCTAAGCCGTTTGAACAAGTTATAATCAGATATCATGTACGGTTATGGTCATTATGCAGCACATTCAGTTACCTATATGAAATTTTGAACAAATCCATTTTGGCCGAAAATGACAAAAATTATGAAGTCTAAACTGTAAAGGATTTTTGGCCAAAATACGTTTCTCAGGCTTTTGGCCAAAAATTGGATTTTGCTGAAAATCTCAGTATGGGTACTCCTGAGCTTGCTGATTCGATTTAAGAGTAATTAGTGGCCAAAATGACACTTGAAAGATTTTACTTATATTTTTCAATGCTAATTACTCATCAACTATGGGTTTCCAAGGTGTGATTTAGGGTTTGTGTGTTATTCTGAAGGTACCTAATTAGTTAAACCCCTTAAATTTCAATTCTGAGAAAAAATATATTCTGGTCAAAAATTTTGTAAGGTGTAAGTAAGGGATTCGATTCCAACTGTATAAATTTCCTCCCTTATATAAAGAATAGGTTAAAGAACCAATTGCGCCAAGAGAAATACGTAACCTATACAGTAAATACCAAAACCGGGAAAGTGAATCTTATAACATTGAAAATGGAAGACAATCAATCCAATATTTATGGTAATTAAACCCCCGATAAGAGCCCCTGTCCGTCTTTTAATGTTTACAAAGGTGAAATCACAAATTTATAGTTTACGATGAGCCTCGAACACGCGACGCCACAGAAGAAATATCGGCTGAATATTTACGATAAACAATTTATTTCTTCGCCTACAAAGTACTTTTAACACGGTTTATTACTACCAGATGATCAGTTATTCGCCGTATTTTACCTTGTAATTTCCCTCTTCATTCCATGCCCTGCCTGCAAGTGATTTATGATCGTAGATAAAAACGGAAAGCAAAATAAGGAAAAAGTTTTCGTATCGTTTTTATTACTTGGTATCATCTAAACAATATTTATGGAAAAAATAGAATGAAATAAGAAAAAAACTCTTTCTGGTGTTAGCCGAGTTTAATGAACTACAAGTCTAACGATAAGTTCCATCAAGAACAAGAAGGGTTTACTGGGTATAGGCTCGTTGTGAACTTAGATCATTCAAGGAGCCTTACTTACCTGTTCTTGTAATAATCAGCTTTTAATTGATAATTCTGAGGGTGATTTAATCATGGCTAATTTGGGGAACTCTGTATTCTGTATAACTGCTTGTGAAATACTGTTAAAAAGTTTCTCAGCGCTGTGACTGATGACGTACTGTACAAACTTATATATTCATCTGCCAGTTTTCGTTTATATTAATCCTAATGGTTCACCATTATCTGTTATACATTTAAGATAACCAGGGAAATAAAACATTATGGACTGTGAAGCATTACAGGTTGACATCTATCGGGTTCAAAAATATTTTAGACCAAAGCATGGATGCTGTGATTCAATGTCGCGAAATGCAAGATGCAACTTGGGTGTACTACTAGTAGCCTAAGGAAGCCTGTTACATTTATGATATGATATGTTAGGACACTGTGAAGCAATATGACAAAACTCGGTTAATAATCGTTTTTATCCCAATAGGTATTTCGGATTTTTTACCAATATCGATTTTATTCTATGACAATACTGTAGTAGGTTAGGTTAGGTAAATATTCGTTTTTATCCAAATAAGGATAAAAAATCATTTTTACCCCAACTCCAATATTTGTTATAAACAATAAGAAATCTGTATAAGAAATATAAGCAAATCTTACTTATAAATGACTACAAACAGAATTAATTCATCAACCCGCGGAACACAGCCCTCAGCTGTCAAACTAAATAAAGTAAATATGCAAGTCAGTCAAGCAGGAATCATTCCTATTACACCTAGTAACCAATTTATTACTTAAAACAACATAACAAAAAGGTCGGGGGGAAGATAGGACAACATATGGTAATAAAAATTCGCTTGATGAGAATTGCAATGAAAAATATTCCAAAAGAAACTATAAATACTGATTGGATCATGCACCAAACTGCACGGAGGTAGACTCGGCTTTTCAAGACATTTAAAGTTACCTTTCTTGGCGTTCTTGATGACGTAGCACAATTAAAGGAGATACGGATGAAAACTAGGACTGAACCTTGAATGACTTGCGAGATACTAGAATCCATATAAGAGGCAGAGATCAACTCTCTTATCTAGACAGACAGGATGAAGAATGTCGGAGGAATAAATAACAATTATATAAAAAAGATAGAAATAGTTCCTTGTTAGTGATTGTTCCCATATAATTATATACTGTACATACTTTCAGACGCTTAAAGCAATGCTGTAAAGGTCACAACAAAATATTTTCCAATAATCCAAAGAATTTATCTACTGCACTTAATCATAACCATATAGTAAAAGGCGCTGATTACATTATAACATTTTGCCTGTATTATGGTGAAAATACTGTAATGCAAATGGCAGTAATTACTTACCTTAAAGACACCAAAATGCTAGTGTTCATCAAAGGATTTCTGTTAATATCACTGTTAATAAAACCACAACAATAGAGAAATACATTACGCTCACCATCACCACGTAGCTGTATCGTCTACTGAGACCCTAAATAACATTCTTCCTTCTAGTGCTGTAGTAACGTCTGTAAAAAAAATTCAAGAATATGTATAGAATTTATCCAAGTCCAATCGATTTGGATAAAATATACTACATCAGATATCCTATAAATATAATAATAACTTCTGTATATATCCTGCAGAAACATTATACATAGATACCAAGTGACAACACTAGGACCCCCGTTTCCTGTAATATGGAATAAACTACTGACATTGAAATATAACTATGATTCTCACCAAGCCCACATGATGCTTCCCAAGGTACAGTACTCTGATTCAAACCCGCCGCCCCTCCTCCCTGCTGTAGGTAGAGGGAAGCACTGTCGCCTTGTGGTCCAGTCCCTCCATTTTCGAAAACAACTACTGGTACCATTTACTAATGTTATCAATTATGAAGCCTGAGTAAGTGTTATTTTTTATATTTAAACATTGTATCGTAAACTAGAATGATTATTTTATATATTGGTGAATATGTAGTGAATATTAAAGGAGTAGATTGGGATATAGTGGTGTGTGTTGACTGGGCAAACACCGTAGTCAAGAGTAAACATTAAGGATAAGGAATCTCTCACTATTTATCGGTGGTATTTGTCTTTAACACTATTTCCGCAGGAGTTAGTAATTTTTAGTGGTATTAGACGAGGAAAAGTTTATTGATAATTATCTCGAAGGCTTTTGTGCAGAGCTTTAAATGGTATAAAGTACAGTTTAATGAATCTTACAGGTGATAATTTAAAAGTTCACACCTGTTAGAGTTCGTATATGTGCATTAACAAAGTGTGTTATGATTATTTTAGATGTGTTATATTGGTATTCACCGAGACATTGTAAGATGTATGTAACGCCTTAGTGCTCACCTAACTACTGTAATGTGACTTGAATTAGTAACAGTTTTACGAGGTCCCTTCAACCATGTCTTGGAGTTGCTTCACAACATAGCTTTTAACTCACAGTTGTGAACACCTTATTCAATATCTTGTTGTAGTTAGTGAACTTTGTGATAAATCAATTTTCGTGCAATATATTCAATTTGGCTTTCCTAACATGTACCGGTAAACATGTAAGATTTTGTAGACTGATTCTGTTGTATTTTTTCATTGTTGTTTTTAATGGTAGAACAATAGTCATATCACACTTGATCTTGAAGCCCTGGAGGCTGGGACATGGAAAATTTATGACCACATATGATGACTTAGTTAGAACTAACTTAACTTAAACAATGTACAGTAAGATTATTAGTTTGGGTTAGGTTTAGCTGGTTCTTGTGATGTGTATAATCATAAAGGATTTAATAATGATAAATGATATTCAGACAATTTTACCAAGGACAACTGACAAAGCCATGGGAGGTTTGTTTCCAGCAGAGTCCTTATGCCAGCAGCATCTGGTGTTCTTAGGGCCAGGCAGTCACCCATACAAGTACTTACCAGACTCAATGTTGCTTAACTCTGCTGATCGGACTAGAAGCGGTGTTTCCAATATGGTACAACTAACACTTATGGGTAATATTTTATAACGCCTGTGTCCCTTAATGATAATTTATGAGATCACCGCTACCACCATAAGGAGTTGTTTGATTCTCTCATATTTTTTCACACATCTAATCATTATAGTAAGTATTTAAAAAAAAGGCAACAACTTTTCATTTTAATTATTATTTTTTTCTCTATATACGATCATGAATCACCAGTAGTGATGAGGGAAATTGTGGGGTATAAAACAGTGAAAAACTGATCATATGACACCAAAATGATGTCTCTACATGCTTTTCGTGAGAAGAAATTAAATAATTATCGTAAGTACTTAAAAAACCTGCTGAGTCCGCGCATGTTTTTGTCTGCCCTGCTTGTTTAAAACCGACCTGCTTGGTCCAAGAAAACTCACGTCCACAAAAAAAAAATTAAAATTACGCTGTGACACTTCAATAAAGTTGCCTTTATTGGTACCAAATATATCATAATAAGTACTTACTGTTGAATATGGAGGGGGGTCCACCCCCTGGCTAGGAAGTTAAGTAAGGTCTGTTAGGTTTTTTTGGTTAGGTCAGGTTCTATTAGCTTCTAGTTATTGTTGCTTCTTTTAAACTACTTATACAGTATAATGATAAGAACATCTGTGGAAGAAATTAACAAAATCGAACAACTCCTTCTGGTGGTAGTGGTGTTCTCATACACTGCCCCCCTAACTAACATTTTAAGGGACGTTATTCAGTAATACTGGTCAGACGGCTAACATCAGAACGTTCTGTTTGATTTCGTTCATTTTTTCCACAGATGTTCTTTGCATGATAGTAAGTAATAAAAATGAAACGACAATGCACAGAACCTAATAGAACCTGACATAACCAACCAAAATGAAGAAACCTACTTATCCTTATCTAACTTCCTAATTGGAGGGGTGGACTCCCTGCATATTAAACAGAAAGAACTTACTGTATGTACTTTGATATCTGGTACAGTTACAGAAATGTGTTCCTACACCCCCTCAGGTAAACTATGTCTCCAAATGGCCATTCTATATGACCTATTCTTACAGTATAGCACACTTCTCCAATCACTCATCATCGTTACACGTCCAATACCCATTAATTCATAAATAGTGATACTTCAACTGAAACATTGCTGTTTGGAGAGTTTACCACAGGGGAACACATTTCCGCAACTGTACCAACGAAAGCAACTTTATTGAAGCGGCATGGAGTAATTTTATGTTTTTTGTGGAAGTAAGAATCTGCTCGGACTGAGTGGCTCGGTTTTCCACTAAAACAAAAATCAGCATAAAAATCTACACTATAAAAAATCTATTTTTGTAGTGCAGTACATGAAACTGAAAAGATCCAGCTTCTTCCCAAACATTTTCAAACTGACACTGCTCACTTCACAGTCACAAAAACAGAGCAAGTGATGATAACATTATTGCAGCCGACATTACACAGTAACTAATAATAATTTGAGAAAAGTAAGCATCTTTGTGTCCTGTACTATCTAGTTCTTGTTACCAGAGGACCTCTTTATCAAGAAACTCACAAAATTGTTTGTCGCATTTCATCCTTATTATTTACCCGACTTGAAAAGTATGTGCGGCTCAGTTGTTATGGTGTTGAGCTCTACAGTATATATGGTCATGTTATTATGGGTAACACTTACTTGGTACTGTATTGATTATTATTTCAGCAGGACTCCCATAAAACGGAAGCCTCGGCCGACCCCCAAGCCGAAGACTGTAGAGAGGCATGTGGAAAAGGATCCAGTAGAAGTGTTCTGCCGCATCCGACCAGTTGAAACCCCAGACCAAGAGGAGTGTATCAGTGTAATAGACTCAAGCACCGTAAAGGTATGTGTGTTAGTAGATTACTATCGTAGTACAGTACTGTATGTAATGCACATAAACTAGTCATTGAAATTTATACATCTAACCAAAAGTCCTTTTGTAGGTATCTCATAATAGTGCACACAAAGCCTTAGAGTCACAACTAGTAAATCCCTAACTGTGTTAAAGCAAAATTTGTGTGTATTACTTCAAGGTCTTTATTTTATTTACAGCTAACACCACCAGTAACATCATTTGCTTTTCGCAATGGAAATGCAAAAGAGCAGTTATACAAGTTCCAGAATGTGTTTGGCCCTGACACAACGCAAAAAGAACTATTTGATCACGTTGCTAAACCTCTGGTGTCAGAGGTTCTGAATGGGAAAAATGGTCTTCTTTTTGCATATGGGGTCACAGGTTCTGGCAAGACATACTCCATGGAGGTAAGTCATATCATTCATCTCCTTTAAGATGCAACTGAGTGAGGAATGTAAATGTGTATGTGAGAGGGACACTACACCTCCTCTCCCCAGCTATGCACCCAAATATAGTTTTTTACAGTCTGTATCTTAGTATAATTCCTATTATATTCCTATACTGTAATTCAATCCTCTTAATCTATGTCATAATACAGTATAGTCCAATAATAATAATCGACTTTTTGGAAATGCTTGGTTATTTCAGATTTATTGTGAGTTCAAATCGTTTAATTCATTAAAAAAAAAACTACCCTGTAAACGAATTAAGCCAAAATCCAAATTATGCCGATCCAAATTACTGAGGGTACAGTTACAATGCAAAATAGAATAATGTACAGCTTTCTCTCATTACACGGATGTTCACTGCAAATATTTGCTAATACTGTACAGTAATATCTGCATTAGCTGGAATTCCTCAAACCCAGAACTCTCCAATAGCTTTGGGAACGATTTTCTGGGGGGAGCCACTTTTTCCGGAAAATTCTGAGAAAATTTTTCTGATACCTGACAAATTCCAAAAAATTCCGGGGATGGGGGAGCTTTTTTTCTGGTTTTGAGAGATGAAAATGAGGCACATTTTCTGGAAACTCTGAGAAAATGTGTCCGGTACAGTACAGTGAGTTCTGCTATAACGCGTGTTTTGACAACGCGAATTGGCTCTAACGCGATTTATGAATAGAGGAACGATATTTGTATAACGCGAACGCTTGTTTGCTGTAACGCGATTTTTGCTTACTATTTCTCCAATTTTGTGGTATTAACTGTGAATATGGTAAATAAGAATATCTCCAAGAAGCGTTCTGGTGATCGCATTCCCGGTGATGATTGTAAAAGAAAGGCTATAACCCTTGAAGAGAAGCTCGATGTTATCAGCCTCAAAATCACCCTTCTCCCCCATCAAGTTATATTCATATTTTTTCAAGGTAAGTGTTACATTTACTGTATGATTTCATTATTAGATATGAATGTAACATTTATTTAGACTGTGCTAACCTTTGTGTTAGGCTAACTACTAAATGTTTTTCGATTTCGAGTAGTAATCTGCACCTAACCCTATTTTCTCCATAAGCCCTGTTATTTCTATTACGCGAATTTCTATAACACGATATTTTACAAGAACACAACTATCGCGTTATAGCAGAACTGACTGTGCATGGAAAATTCCGGGGATGGGGGATATTTTCCTGGGTTCGACAGATGATGTAATGGGCAATTTCTGGAACTTCTGAGAAAATTTTTCCGTTACCTGGAAAATTCTGGGATGAGTTTTTTTTCCAGCTTTGAGAGAGTTGTCTCGTTACCTGGAAATCTCTCATTCTCAGTAGTGCTCTGCACCAATTGTTCCGGCTAACAGAGATATCACTGTACTGTGCAGTACAAATACAGTATTCTATTCTTAACCTCTTTCCATTATATAAAGGCTATGGACCCTCATGGTGTATAATGTACCAAATTTATATTTCATTAATTTTTTAATGTGCTAGGTGCTAAATTACAGTAATAAGGTACTAACTTACAGTAGTTAGGTAGGTTTTCTGGCCTTGTGAACCGGTTTAATTTTTTGTATAACATTGGGGTTTTCTTAAGAAGTTACTAAACTACAGTACAAGCGGTTAGGTACTAATTTTGTGCTTGGCCACAGTTTTTATGATAGCGTGCTTAAATTTGGTAAGCTAATATGAATAGCCCAGGAATGTTAATAAATGTCTAAATTGGAAATGGGGATCAACCCCAGTGTCTAATTGAGGAGGAACTAATTACATGTGCAAAATATGACGCCATCTATGATTTTGGGCTTGCGGGCAATCCAAACATTTGGCTACCTAAGTGATTTTGTTATGAATATTGTGTTGAAATGAATATATTTATGAAAATTATGCTTTGGAAAAATGTAGTACAGTATAGTCTCGGTTTACGCGGTCAATTAAACCCGTGGAGGTCCGTGTAAAACGAGAAACACGTAAACGAAATAACAGAACATATGAGATTAATTGAAATAGAGACTGGGCCGACCGCCAGACTACCCTTTTCCGACACAATACATATGTTTCTAGTAAAAATAACATCTTAATTTTATAGTGGTATGCACACACAATTAATATTTAAGAGAAATATCAATAATATTAGGTTTTTTAACACTTACGTTAGTAGAAGAGATGGCTGGGCACACGGGGATGGGGGGTTGGTTCCGAGGCAGAGGGCAGATTATTGGCCCTCACCTGTATCACTTGTATCACCTGTATCACTATCCACCACAGAGGCTTGCAGGGCCTCTTTGTCAAACCCCTCAAAGTCCATATCCTCACTATCACTGACTTGGGCCGGCTGTGGTGGGTGAAGAACTCGGTAATGTTTTGTTGACTGGGCGACCTTGTGCGCACCCTGCCCACGCCGCTTCCCGCGTAAATGATGGAATGAACCTCATAACTAATAATTGCCGGTCTGGCCAGGTGCCGCGTAAATGACCAAACGTGTAAAGGAAATCCGTGTAAATCAAGACTATACTGTTTAAATATTTATCTGAGATATAAATCAAATCTGGAATTAAAGTAGTTATGTAAATACCATATGAGGTGAACCGTTGTGTGACCCGGCATCAGCAGGATGAGACGACCACATTAGTGCACATGGTGTGACAACTAGAGGTAGTGTTTGAGACAGTTTTTCCTCTACAAGTAATTGAACTGCCACTCTTTTGAAATGCACCGCCACAATTTTTAACACGGTTTAAGCTTGATATAGTTAATTTTTTTCATGTGTATTTAACTTTGGCAAAGGCTGGTTAACCTTACTTTGTTAAAACAAATCTGGGTTATGCTGGGTACCCCAGCTAGTGTTCTAAAAAGACAAAACTATAAGTAATTTTATTTTCAGTACTGGCTTATTTGGACCTTGTTCCTTGCCTTTGAACACAGTTAATTTTGTGATAAGTATAGTACTGTACAGTACTTAACATACTGTAGAATGAATATACAGTAATGCTTAAAGCAGACATGCCGATATCGTCATCACTTGGCCTTCTAGTAATTCACTCTATTCTGCATTAAATTGCCTTAAAAACAGAATTATAAATTTCAGTTGGAATATAAAGAACTAATCTTAAGCTATATTAGATATGGTATAAGAAATACTATTTGTCATTGAAGAGTACTTAGAATCATACAAAGATAGAGAAGCCTGAATCGACTATCAAGATAGTGGGAAATACATAGTTTCATAATGTAGAAACATAGACATTAAAAATAATAAAATAGGTAATGGGTTTACTTTTTGTTTTCAGGGAGTACCACAAGATGGTGGAATTGTTAGGAGGACCCTAGACGTAATTTTCAACAGTATCCAAGATTACCAAGCAAGAAGATGCACCTTCAAACCAGATCGCATGAATGGATTTGATGGCCAATCTGAATCAGATGCTTTTAGTGATCGAAGAAGAATGGATGCTACTCCAAACAGAATTACGAGAACCAACAAACCAAGGTATGACTAGACTACTGTTTATCACTAGTTACTGGTCATCAACACTTTTGTGGCCACTTTCCACCCTTGTGTGAGGTAAGATATAATGAAGTACATGAGATGCTTGGAATTGCTGAGGGGATGGAGAGTGATGGTATTGGTTAAGAGGAGTTCTTTTGGTCATATGAAAAAGTTGTCAGAGAATAGAGCAATAAGGAAAGTGTATAGACATAACAGATGTGTTGGAAAGTGGGAAACATACTTTAACACTAGAGGGATAGTGGAACAATGCATTCAGGAGAGAAGGGGAGTAGAGTGGGCACATGTAGTGACTGGATGGCCTGGAAGCTTTAATGTTGTGATTATTCCTCAGGAGAGAAGTTTTTATGGGATCAAGACATCACAGCTAATATAAGAAGATAGATCATTATTGAACTAAGCCCTCAGTTATTAGTTATTATCTATTCAATAAATAGTGCAACTTTAACCACTCTAACCCTTGTTTATAGCTTTACATGATACTTTACACCGAAAGGTCCTGACCAACAACATTGATGGTCAAGTTAGTAGTAACTGTGTCCTCCTGTACCAGGGATTCAAAGATAGAGTTTATAAGTTGCAATTTTTAAGTATAACTTGTGTATTTTATTATTTCAGAAGAGAGACAAGTGGCTCACAAGACAACTCACAGCGCATACCTGACACATCACGTATTGAGAACATCGATGAAGACAATGTGTTCTCTTTATTTGTTTCTTACATTCAGATATACAACAACTATATTTATGACTTATTGGAAGAGGTTCTAGAAATAGGTCCTTCAAGGTAAGACTTGTCCATAACACTTCACTCATTTAGTCTATACAGTGTATAAAAAATCTTGATGTTTTTAGTTGTGCTGCTTTATTTGAGATATTTCAGTTAATTTGCATAGAATAACTACAGTAAATAATGTTTCCAGGGGACTGCAAACAAAAATCCTGCGTGAAGATGCTCAACACAACATGTATGTTCATGGCTGTGTGGAGATGGAGGTCAAGAGTCCTGAGGATGCTTTAGAGGTCAGTTTGACTCACCATTGTTTAGGTGTAGCTCTGTTGTATCTAGGTTAAGGTATTATTGAAATGATGATGTTCTTAACAAGGAAACACTTATTTTTTATGCTATGTATAAAACTTTGCAGCATGAAAGAAGTTTGCACAAGAGATAAATATTGATGTCACCATGAATTTTTACTCTTATTTCCATAAAAGGAATGATAACTTTGTAATGAATGTACAGTAGTTAATTTTACTAAGATTTTTTTATACCTTGTTATGGCAGATTCTGTACAAGGGCCAGAAGAGGCGCAAGATTGCCTACACTCGCTTGAACTGTGAGTCATCTCGGTCACACTCCATTTTCACGATCAGGGTTGTTCAGGTAAGTGTCAGAGAGGCTGATTTAAAATTTGCTTATTTTGTATATTTGTAAAGAAAAGATCTGATCAGTTTTATGGGTTGAAGCTATAATGTTGTAGTTCTGTTACCTGTGTAACATGAGCAGTGCTAGAGATGGTGGTGCTAAAGATAGCTCAGTTGCAAGGGTCAGAAGTGGCTGGAAGAAGTTTAGAGATTGCTGCCTTTATTTATGCTAAGATGACCATCCCTATGTATGAGAGAAAGATGTATGCAACTGGCGTGAGGAGTATGATGTTGTATGGCAGTGAAATATGGGTATTTTAAAAGGATGACATATACAGGCCTGAGCGAGCTGAAATTAGAATGGCAAGTTGGATGAGTAATGTAACACTGAAACATAGGAGACTCTGTTGAGAGCTAAGAGGGTAGGTGCATATTAAGAGTATTGGTGAGGTGTTGCATGGAGGTAGGCTGAGGTGGTTTGGGCATTTGAAAAGAATGGAGGAGACCAATTGGATCAAGAGGTGCACGAGTCTAAATGTGGAGGGGGGAGCCAGGGTCAGGCCAGGTATGACATGGCAGAGAAGGTGCAAGAAATGACCTTGGAGTTAGGAACCTGATGAGAGAAGCTGCAAGAGACTGCACCGCCGGGAGAGCTGCCATTTAGACTCGTGCACCTCTTGATCCAATTATGTACCATTAGAAATATTTGGTCATTAAAAAATATTTCTAGATTTCATTGTACTGAGCTGATATTTTTCCATTACTTATATTTCACAGGCTCCACTTGATGCACAAGGTGAAGATGTTGTCACAGATAAAAATGCCATCACAGTCTCCCAGCTTTCATTAGTCGACTTGGCTGGTTCAGAGCGCAATATTCGTACAAAGGCTGTAGGTGACAGGATCAAAGAAGCAGGTAAAATGAATGACTTATGTTCATCAAGTGTTTTAAAGAAGATGGATCATTGATCAATATTTTTATTGAGAGTATAGGTGAGGTTTTACACAGAGGTAAGCTAAGATGGTTTGGTTATGTGGAGGAATGGAGAGCTAGGGGTAGGTCCAGAATGATGAGAATTGACCAAAGATACTAACCTGATGAGAGGCTGCCATCAGGAAATCATGGCCAAGCCTTACAGATATAGATGATATCTCACCCATTATATTTTTTCCTCTTTCAGTTTGACTTTTCATTCCACCACTTCTTCGACATGATGACTTAACCTCTCCCTTATCTAATACTGTGCTTGAAGCAGTTGCCCTCCCCCCTCCCCCCCAAAAAAATGTATACTGTATATCTATTTTTCTCTTGGTTTTATTATCCACTTCCCTGCAGAACAGCTTCCCATTTTCTTTAAATCTTTGTTAGTTTACCCTGGCACTTCTCTTGGGTTGTATACTTTGAGTTATAGTTGCACTTTCAGATACACCAGTATGCTACTTGGCTAGTGAAATTTCTTTTGAAAAATCTTTGGTAGCTATTAAACATTTTATCTTCCAAACAAGTGGCAAAGGATGAGACTACTGTATACCAAGAATAATATGTGCATATTTTTTGCAGAATTATCTTGTTGAATGTTGTAGATTGCATTTTAATGACATTTCTAAAATTTAAGTGTTTTCCCTTTCTTGAGTCAAGCTATGTTGATTAGCCCCTAAAACTGTTAAGTTTATGCTTAATGTTTTATAGTTATTTTTACTTGCTTTTACCTAGAAAATTAAATTTTCAGGTAACATCAATAACTCTCTCATGAACCTGAGGGCTTGTATTGAAGCTCTAAGAGAGAATCAGATGATGGGAGGATTAAAGAAAGTGCCTTACAGAGACTCCAAACTTACACACTACTTCAAAAACTACTTTGATGGGGAAGGCAAAGTGAATATGGTAGTGTGTGTTAACCCCAAGGCTGATGACTATGATGAAACTCTTGTGAGTATTTTAATCTTGATGATAATATTTGTAAGAATATTACAGATATCCAGGTAGCATGAAGATTAATATTAAACCTTTTGTGTAGTGTGTACAATATTATAATCACCACTATACTCTACTGTACATGCAATATTGTTGAGGATAAGAGGAAATATAATGGTATAATTATTGTTCTACTGTAGTTGTTTTAATTGTTCCTGACACTTTCTGTACTTTTTCATTTTTCTATGGACCATTTAGGTTTTGTTTCCTTTGATCCACTCCACATATACAGTATACTGTATGTGGTATTGGAAGAAAGAAAGTTGATAGGTGAATAATTTATTTTGGAATGCTCATTCAGTCTATCTGCACCGCCAATAACTAGATTTCTTATGTAGCTATATACGGTGATATCCCCGTTAGCTGGAACAGTTAGTGCAGAGCACTTCCGGGAATGAGAGATTTCCAGGCAACGAGATGACTCTTTCGAGACAAGAAAAAATCCCCCATCCCCAGAAATTTTCCAGTTATAGGGAAAGGTTCCTTGGAATTTTCCTGAAATTGCGAATTATTTCATCCTTGGAATTTGTTCCCAGACCCGGAGAAAAAATTTGAGAGTTTCCGGAAATTTTCTTGGGATTTTCCAGAAATGTGACTTGATTTTCAGCCTTTGAAAATCAATCCGAATCCTGGAATTGAGAGACATTTTCCAGGAAAACTCGGAGCAAATTTCAATTCCGGCTATTGGAGAGTTCCGGCAAGAGGGATTCTGGCTAATGGAGATATTACTTATGAATGGAACAAATGCACTAGGGAAAAAAAGAATTATTATAAAAATTATGATGATTCATATGCATGTTGCTTGAGTGCTTCAAATCTGTCTTCTATTTAATGAAACATTGGTTGGTCACAAGAAACAATTTAAAATGAGTGCGATAACACAATGTATTAGGAGACAAATGGGAATTAAACAGTAATTTAATTTTACCTTTCAGACTGTGATGAAGTTTGCTCAGCTTGCATCTGAAGTGCAGATCCAGCGAGTGATACAACCAGTGAGACACGACCTGGGACTGCCCCCAGGGAGGAGGCGTGCCAACCAGTTGTTCAAAGAAGTGCGCAGGAGGCTTGAAGCTGAGGGTGAAAACACTAAGGTTTGTGTGTGTGAATGATTTGTTTGTTTACAAACAATTGTTAGCACCTTCATGATTGTCAGAAGTATTCTTTGAGATTTTATTTGTCTTGAGTCTTTACTTGTATGTGTTTGCCCTGACAAAAGAAATACAATAGGTGAACAGTGGAGTTGGATGAAAGATTTTCAGGAAAGAATTAAATTGTAATTTATGTATGAGTTACCTTTATTGGTATCTTGAGTTGTGGCTGCAAGGTATTATCAACAACATCATCACTGTTTTTTTGGGTATTTCCATGCTTGTATTGGTCATTCAGTAGTCATGTAGCAAATTTGAAGAAAGTTTTGCAGTTGGATCACCTTCCTATCACCAACTGTAGGACTTCCAAGCTTCCTCTTAGGTGGCAAGACAGGGTTGCAACTCTGGGGTTGTCTGGTTGTCAACCCTATTTTTTTCTTTGATGGAGTAAGTTTATAGCAAACATAGAATTTTTTATTTTAAAACTTGGAGACTATTGACCATATTACTGCTGAATTGTTGAATTTTAAGAATGCTCAATACATTTATTTTCAACAAATTCATAGAAACTGATTTTTATTTTGCATGACTAGAATCTGGAGGTTGATTTGACGCCCATCTACACTCTGGCTCCTGATTGGCCAGCTGTCACATACACACCAGAAACCTTGGAGGAGGTGTTTACTAAGCTCAAGGCTTACTTACAGAAGAGGGTCAACAGCAGAGAGAAGCTCAAAATTGACCTAAAGGATAAGTGTAAGTAAACCACCATGGCTTACTTTTAAGAGTCATAAGCCCATAACCTTTAGAGGTGACAAGGTAATTTACAACCAATAGCTTTTGGCATTTTATGACAAAAAGGTATACAGGGGGTATATCAGATTAAGCTCCTGGTCCAGATGATATAACAGCATGAGAGCTGAACCATTATGATGACGTGGTAACAGATTGGTTGTGTTCATGGTAGTAGGAAGAGGTGCCTAATGAGTAACTTCGGGTAGAAATAGAACCTCTGTACAAAGATCAGGAAATATGGAGAAGTGTAGAAAGTAGCGAAAAATTAACTTCTTGAAAATATTGAAAGCTGTGGTTGAGAGAGTGGCACTGTATAGATGGATATAAGAGATGATGAGTAAAGTGACTTTATAACAGGTTGGTGGTGTGTTGATCAACTTTTTTCCTTTGAAGGTAGGAGCAGTTTATGTAGCTATATGTTAAACAGGTTGAAGGTGTATGGCAGAGTGGACTTGAATTCAGGGAAGAAAAGTAAAGGTAAGCAGGATTAATGGCATTGAAAGTACAGACTGATTAACAGAAAAATGTGTGTTTAGGTATAAAACTATTGCCTGAGCTTGCCTGTTGCAAGCTTGCAGGCAGTAGTGGTGAATACTAAAAAGGAATAGATATATGCTAATGCTTTTGTGACCCAACAGTTTCTGCAGTACACTTAGCTATAATGGACATGGAAAAAGAAAATATCATAATGAAAAAAGAGATCGCCAGTCTGCGCTCCCTCTACGGTGATGCCATGTCTAAAGTCCGCAGTCTAGAGTCCATGTTACTGAATGCTGAATCTGCTAATGAAAGCTTACAGAGGAAATTTTCAGACTACAATAATCTTGTGGATGATTATAATGGTGTGGTAAGTGTTCATTTAACTAATTTTTCTGATAGCATGCCATGACATATGCTAAGGTTTTGATATAAATTTTTGAAGCATTTGTTCTATATTATTCTGTAGACTTATTTCTCCCTGTCCCAAGATAGTAGTGTAAAAAAAAAAAAAATACCATTTTCATACTGAAATTCAAAACTTTATTTTTTTTTGTATCTGGGGAAGTGTGAAGCATCATTCCTATATTTAAAGAACCAAGTCATGTTTACATTTTTACCAGACAGGCAGTGAGAAACAAAAGTATTTGAGTATGAGTAGCATTTTGAACTTGGTGATGAGTCTCCATTCCTCCTTCAGTTTTATTTCTTATGTTATGTACAAAGGTCAAGGACTGTGTGTGAGTACTGAGTGGAATGCCTGGAAGGATCAATAGCATGGTATACATATACACTGAGGTAGTCTTGTACATATGAAGTGTCCCCCATCTTTGTAATTTTTCTGAAGAGATGACACTTATATTATGTCCTATGTGGACAAATAAGATGTCTGTCATAACTCACATTAATACTGATCTTCAGCGTGATGAGCTGGACATGGCTAAAACACAAGGACACTTGGATAAGCAACGGATGAAAGCATGGCACAAGACCAAACTAGAACAGGAGAAAGAAAAAATAAAAAATGGCCTGAATGCTAAATTTACCCAGAAAAAGGTAAGTCCAATTATTTTGCAATTTTTCACTTTCTGCGTAACATAGTGGAATTACCTACCACTGATGGTTTGATGTGTTGTTCTTTCCTCCACATATAAAATGTGTTTTTATATTAGTTGCCTTCTGGTGTGAAAAATGTTATTGCAGAATGCTTCAAATTACTTAAAAAATTACGGAATTTAAGGTGTGGGAAGGTAGCAGTAGGGTGTACGTATATGAAGCAGTTTGAAGCTTATTTCATCTGATGATTAAACACTTAAACACTGACATAACCCAACCCAACCTCTCAGGTAGTGAGTGTTAGCAAGTTTTATCATCAAGTAAAATAAGCCGGGGTATCTTATCTTCAGCTTTTTTTTTATTTTAACTTTTTTGGTGATTTTATTTATTCTCTTAATACATTAATTTCCCTCTAATCCAGACTAATTGGGGTAATCCTGTCCAGATTGGGTGGGGGTCTGTATTGTCTATTACAGGGTGGAAGATTCCAGAGGGTGGGATAATTTCTGAGTCAAGCTACCTAAGAAGACCGAACATTACTGTAAATTTATAGGGTTTTATAGGTCTTATGAGCTTTTGTTTTAAGCTGTTGGGGTTTTAACATTTGTGAAAAAAGGTAGAAATTTGTCTAGGTTTATCATACGGTCTCAGCAACTATTCGGCGAGTCATTGAGCAGCTGGTGCTGCCGGGAGCTCTCATACGCCTGGCCGCATTGTATACTGTCTCAGCTGTGACAATTCTCTATTCAAACCTCACACCTAAAAATACCTCCATTCATGGCCCATTCATCTACAGTAGATTGTTTGATTTGTATATACGTACAGTGATATCTCCGTTAGCCGGAACAATTGGTGCTGAGCACTTCCGGGAATGAGAGATTTCCAGGTAACGGACGACTCTCTGAAAGCCGGAAAAAATCCCACATCCCCGGAATTTTCCGGGTAACGGAAAAATGTTCTCGGAAGTTCCAGAAATTGCCCATTGCATCATCTAACGAAACAGGAAAAAAAATCCCTCATCCCCGGAATTTTCCAGGAAACGGAAAATTTGTCTCGGAATTTCCAGAAAATGTGCCAGATTTTCATCTCTTAAACCCGGAAAAAAATCCCCCATCCCCAGAATTTTCCGGGTACGTACTGGGAGTTTTTTTTAGAAAATTTCCGGTAAATGTGCCCCTTGGAAAATCGGAGAGTTCCGGGTTTGAGGGATTCCTGCTAACAGAGATATTACTGTATATTTATTTAACCAAACTTTAGATAAACTAATCAGGATAAATATTTCTAATGTTTTTCATTAAAACATCCCCACCATTATACTGTACTGTACTGTATCGTATTGAAATATTTTGTTTAAGGATCTTTATTGAAACTGTCTTGTAGAGAATTTGTTCAGGATCATTATGGTATCAAATTCATCTTCTTAACATAAATAGAATGTATGCTATAAAAGAATTTATAAATTTTTTGCTCACCGTAAATATTTTTGCACGTGACCTCGGCTTAATATAATGGGAGAAAGGTAAGAGAATCATACAAGGTAGAAGAGTGTTTCATATGGTATACATTATTACTGCACTGTAATACAGTACTGTATACCTGTTGATTAAAAATAGAAGCACATAATACATGTTAAAAATAAAATACTGTACTGTACTTATCAATTATTCACTTATCATGAGGTGGTTGAGTCTTTGGGTGAAGAGGCAGTTGAGGTAGGAAGTGATTGTACTACAATCACAGTGTACGCCACCAAACATTGAGTGGAGGTAATGTTTTCACTGTTAATTTTATTGACTGTACTATACACTATATATATTTCTTAGACACTTCACTTTAGTACTGTACACTATATATAATATATATAGTGTACAAACATATTATATATGTGTTTTGTGTGTGTGTAGACACACACACAAAACACATAAATAAATAAATAATTGAGGGTAGACTCACATTTTTAGTAAATTTGTTTCTGATTATTTGTGAGAGTATTTTCCCATTATTTATTTATTTGTACGTGTCTTGTGTGTGTGTGTGTGTGTGTGTCTATGCACATACATATATACAATACAGGTAAAAGAAATAATTTTCCTAAGGGCAAACACATAAAGGGAATATACATTTCTTTGTACACAAGAAAAATGCCCCCCCCCCCCCGGTCCACAAATGTTGTTCGTGGATTTGACGATTCGCTGCCATTTTGAGATCCTAAGCCCCGCGAATTTGGGGGGGGGGGGCCTGTATATTTCTTAGGCACTTCATTTTAGTGCTCCTCAGCAACCACCTCCACCTCCTCCTCAGAGGCAGCTACTGAGTCCCCCCTTCCCCACTTAAGCAAACTTTCCTCCATACTAACCAGATTTTAATTGTGTTTTTTATGGGTTGGGGATACATGTGTCTGATGCTGGACCCCAATCCGGTTTACAAGGGAATCCAGATTAGTTAAATCTGGGTTAGAGGAAGTTTACTGTAATTTCTGTTGTACTTTCAGTTTTCTCTCGCCATCCCGTTACAAGATTGTTTTTTTTTTCCACCTTGAGGTGCAAACAAACCTTCAAAATATTCCTTCCACTTATTATTTCTTCTGTTACCATTGATATTCTTTCCTCTGTATCTCTTATTCTTCAGATTTTATTTTCCCCTTATTTATCTTAGTTTTATGGAACACTTCTCTGTTTCTTACAAAATATCTACTTTACTCTTAACCCAAGTTCCTCAGTCATTCCTTCCTTAATGTATCACACCATCCTCATTACCCTTTTTCATTCCCTTGGTACAGTATTCCCTTTTCCTCTGCTGTTTTGTATTCCAGCCACTATTTTTTTCAGTTACCAGCTAATATACTGTATATACTTTCAGTCCAAAATATACCACACTCAAGTAAGAGCTCTACAAGAAATCCTCCTAGATGGGACCTCAAATACTCCAGTCAGTTTTCCTCCTTCTTCATCGGACTCTGACCTCTCCCAGATACGCCCAACTGCCAGAAGTGCAATCAAAGCTTCCACATCAGATCCAAAGCTTAATTCCAGCCAGGCTGTCCCTACACCTGATCTGTATGTAAGTAGTCACATTAACATAGTATGGTACAGTTGTTTATAAAATTTTCCAGCATACACCCTTAACCCTTAGGCCCCTGGTGACGTTCCAGAACGTCCGACTAGCGCGCCCTGGTTGATGTTCCAGAACGTCTGCCTATTTTCCTGCCATTTTTATTATTATTATTATTATTTGTTATTTATATATTTATTTTTAATTATTTTTGGAAAATTTGATTTTTTTCTCGATTTATCCCCGCGGGTGGGTACTGCCATCAGCACCCTAACACGGGGCTTAAGGGTTAAGCCACAGTAATAAAAGCTGCTTACTAAGGAATTTTCACACTGTACCACATTGTGTCAGCCTGGGAATGATCTCATAAACCATTTTAGGGAAACTGTTGCTTGTTCTTTAGAAGTGAAAGTCTAAAAGAGCCATGGAACAAATACAGACGGATAAAAAATAATCACTTCCCACATACAATTGTAGGCAGTAAATAAGAATATATCTCTGTGCATCTCTCCAAGATGGTTGCCCCAGCTAGGATCAAAATTCGTGTAAGTGAGGGTAGCTTTCATTGCAGAAGAATGAGGTGTAAAATTGGGAAATTTGAGTAAGCAAATTTTCGTATCTGAACGTTGGTAAAGTGAGGGAAATTTAGTTAATCTTTTCTCACTCTGATTTGGGAGAAATATATTTGTGGGAAGGAGCAACTGGCATGAGTTCTCTTATATACCTGGAATATATAAGCTCTTTCCTCTTGGTATAAAAGTTGTGTGAAACAATATGATAGGATGAAAGATTTTGGCAACCCCACCGAGACAACAAGAGTCATATTGATCCTTTTGAAATTCTTCAGACCCATCTGAAGAAATACTTTTTTTTTACCGTGTGTACCTGGTTCATGAATGTGGAGGCACTTTCACCTGACTCATCTCCTTGAGAACTAATGATGGTGAGTGTTCATGATCGAGAACATACAGTAGTACTGTACTGTATCAAGTGATTGATAGGTTGGATGTTCTACTGATGGGTATACTGTACTGGGCTGTGTGAAGTGATGGGTAAAAGAGAAGAAAGTCTTTGGATTGTTTTATGGAGGGGTAATACCATAACAGTGTTCATTTTGACCATTCTGTGCTGAAAAAAAAAAAAAAAAAAAAAATATATATATATATATATATATATATATATATATATATATATATATATATATATATATATATATATATATATATATATATATATATATATATATATATATATATATATATATGTATGTATGTATGTATGTATGTATGTATGTATGGAAAAGGGGTATTCCTGGGAACAACTTAAAATATTTTGTCAAAAGATTTATACTGCATTTATCTTCTTCATTATCACCACCACCATTTTGTGGCAGTTTTCCACATCATATAAACACATATGTAAGCTTGTAGAGTATTTTGTATTTTACTTGAAGTAAATAAAGGAAATTGAAAAAAAATATTCAAATATTTATTATTTGAGAAGCTGTAACTCCCTGTTTGGAAGCACTGTAAATGTGGTGTTCTTCTTCACCATTTCGTGCACATTTTCAATATTCAGTGAGTTATATTTTTTTACATGTGTGTGATAAACCTAAGATGATTATTCCAGGGACCTGCAGTTGTCAACTTAAGACACAGGAGGTCAAGATCCCAGGGTGCAGAAGTCTGGCTTGATCATCGGCCAACACATGTAAGTTTAAATCTGTCTTTTTCAGTTATTGTTGTTCTATATCAGCACCAATGACATTATATAATAATGTTGTATAGTTAGCCACCAGTTGGAGATATATTTAAAAAATTGTTAAGGGTTACAATACTGCTTAAACTGTGCTGCTAGATATATTTGGTGCAATGGTCAGCATGCTCGCCACACAAGAGAGTGGTCTTAAGCTTCATCTCTGGGCAGGGTGAAACTATGGCAAATTTCTTTACATCATATGCCTCTGTCTACCCAGCAGTAATTGGGAACCTGGATGTTAATAGATTTGTAGGTCATGTTTTGGGATACGTATTAGTTAACTAGCCATTGCAGTTGGTGAGTAATGCGACCTTCTTGGATTATTCACTTCGTCAACTTACGATGTGACTTATGTGTTGGCAACAGCTTCTACTGTACACCCTTAAATAAATTCACTCCTGGGTAGCCCTTGGGTCAGCCATCCTTGAACATGGGGGGCACTGTTATTAATGATCATACACGACATGAACAAAAGGTACAAGAAACAGCATGTGAAAAAAAATAAAGAACCTCACTGGGTTCACACCTGGTAGTTTGAACATAGGCATGATGTATGGAAGAGCAGGTGAGATTGTGGAGACAATGAGCTTTAGAAAGCTTGACGTCTGCTGCTTGCAAGAAACATGGTGGAAACAAGGATGATCACTGATAAGAATGATAGCTACAATATATTGTGCTAGAGGTGAATTATGATTTTGTAGCTGCTAATAGGAAGGGATCTGATGGCAGTAATTTCTGCACATGCCCCAGAAGTTGGACTAAGTGAAAAAATGAAGGACAAGTTCTAGGATAAATTATTGTATGTACTGTAGTATTGTAGTTGGGTGAAAGAGATCATAGCTGCTGGGTGGTGACCTAAATGGTCATGTTTGAGGTACATATGAAGGGTTATGAAGGTGTGCATGGTGGAAAAGGCTGACACAAGAAATGTGGAAGGGGAAAGAATACATGAGTTCGGGGATGCAATGAACAAGGTTGTATGCAACACTTTGTTTAAGAAGAGTGTGAATAGGCTGATTATGTGAGTCAGGTGGAACAAAAGTACAGATTGATTACTTTCTCATTAGGAAATCAGACAGAAAGCTTGTTAAGGGTGTATAGGTTATAGCAGGGGAAGAAAGTGCCTTGTGTGTGACATTTTGTTTTGTTTAAAAGACACAGCGAAAGGAAGAAAGCATATGTTCCGAGAAGGAGAGTGTGGAAGTTAAAGGAACAAATTGTAAGAGAAGCGTTTTATGCTGAATTGAGAAGGTTGGAAACATACAGTGATAATGAAAGGGGTAGTGTAGTGAGATGCTGGGCCAAAATAAAGGATGTTTTGCTGACTGTGGCTGGATGAAGGGCCCAGCCTGGCATGCAGTAATATGGTGGTGGAATGATGAAGAAGACAGAATGATAAAGGAGAATAGATTGTATAGTATAAGGCCCAAGCATTGGGCCAGAAGAAAGGTTTACAAGGCTAAGAAGCATGAACAGGATGTATTCACTGATAGGCTAAATAGTACAGATGCAAGAGGAGAGGTTTTCAAAATAGCCAGGCAAATACGTAGTAGGTAGAAACAAGGATCTTTGTTGGTGAGCAGTGTGTGAGATATGATCTGCTGGATGAGGAGTTCAACTGGAACAGGGGCAGCCTAGAACCTGCCTGCAGGGCCAGTACAAGGACCATAAGTAAGCATTGAAAAAGAGTGGGTGACAAAAGGGATTGACATAAGGAAGACCATGATGGTGTGACAATGATGATGACTGAATTGACTGATACAGTTTTGATGGAATGCATTGCTCCAGCCACTTGGCTGAAGGGTATGATTGTGAATATTTGTCAACAAACATATGCATTTTTAAGTAAATAGAGCATCAGATGTAAACAGGTTTGATTTATAAAATCTCCAGTTTGATTTTTGCATATTTGAATATGTGGTGACAGGTGACACATGTGTTCAAGGAACACCCATCTAGTATGTAGGTTGACATATTACACAGTACACATACTGTAGTTGTTGATATGAGGATTAAATATAGTGGTATAATTTTTTTTTACAGCTGCATTTTGAAGAAGATATAAACTATTATTGTCTTTCTTATTGTAATTATTGTGGCAACAGGAGGTACCAAGTGGAACGGTACTCCAGCCAGCATTACAGAGATGCAGATCAGTTACTCGTCTACGTAGCGGTGATCTAACAGATGGTCATGTAACAAATTATTGCTTGACCAGCCAACATCAGGATTCTGAAGGGGAACTTGAAACAAAATTATATAAGGTAGTGGAATGAACACCAAAATGTGCATGCCACTCATCAGCTAAATTATTATTCTTTAAGTGCATGATGACTTTTTTCTGCACTCCTTACTATATGAGAATTGCTGCAGTACTTCATTGGTAAACATTTCCGTGTATTGGGTATGTGAACTGTTAGTCACATATACTGTACTATACAGTGCTACCTTGGAAAAGACAAATGTCTTGGTAAAAAATTATAATTTATTTATTAAATTTTTGTGTGTTATTTTCAATTAATTTTCATAATTTTTGTAAGACACTTGCTGATAGAGTGCCCCAGTCATTGGGATTTGAGGAGTCGTTTTCTGGCCGATTGTCAGCAGGAGGATGGCTCCTCCATTTCAGAGGTGTTCAGTAAGAGAAATTTAGTACCTGATGGTGGACTTTTTAAGTTTATAATTGCATTAAGAGGTACTAAACTGCTTGTGATTTTAAATAAATGCATGATTTTATATTTTAATTTTGATATTTACACTTAATTGGATTTTTTTTATTTATATCTTACTGTAATTTTAAATTACGAATTTCATTTTTGGCATCAAATGGCCACAGGCCGTGACACCAGATATTTTACCCATTCTATCATTCAGTAAATCAATACATCAATTTCTAATTGAGGTTGATTGAAATTAGGACCTGGCAGCTGAGCTATGCACTTTGCAGTTTGGAAAAGCTAGGGGAATATGTTGTTGTGACTGCACAATTTGTACAAGCAGCTGATGCACTTCATACCCTAAGCAGTGCTTAGACAGCTGTTTGACTGAAATTGCTTTTTTGTTAATATGTGTATACAGCAACTTACAGTAAGGGATCTTTCAAAGTTATACAGTTTTAAGTGTTTGAGTCAGTTGTCTGTATAACTGACTGTGATACCTGCTTTCAATTTGCAACTCAAATTATGTGCTTTGTCCTTTCATCTCTGTACAGTTTGGGTATCTTCCTCCTATTATTCCTTTTACCCTACACACACACACACACACACACACACACACACACACACACACACACACACACACACACACACACACACACACACACATATATTTTTTCCCCCTTTCCTCATCCATTTGCTATGCCTTTGTTTGCATAGATGGACAAATACCTGCAGTGCTTTCCAGTATTCTTTTTCAGGGTAAATTTGTAACATTTCATGACTTGTTATGTTTTATGGTTGAATACTCTGTTTCTTTAATTTTCATGTTTTTATAATGACTTTTTATTCAATAGATGTTCATCGATTATATATTATTTATTTCCTTTAGGGTGATGTGTTACCTACAGCAGGCGGTGGATCACAAGTAGTGTTTCAAGATGTGGAAATCCTCAAACAGCGTGACCCACTAGCTGTTCCCTCACGCAAGCGATCATCAGATGGCACACCTAAAGTTGATGCTTTAACTGTGCAGGATCGCTGTGCTGCAAGTATCGAAGGTCATACCACACCTCGACCATTTGTTCTAAATAAGCGATCAAGGTTTTAGAATTTATTGTTTGTGGTAGTCGTATAAGTCTGCATGGAGTGAAAAATATATAAGGGCATTACAATAAGTTCAAGGAAAATTGTTTTCTTTGTATCCTTCATATGTGCTGTCTTCAGTATTTTATTTTGGTTTCAGTTGTCCTGAGTCTATTATTGTATTTTTGGCAATCATGCAGAGCTTAAGGCTGAGGTAAAGCAGTGGTACTTACTGCATTATAACAATACGTATATAGTAAATAGTGAAATTTAATTTTAGACACATTGCTTTAATCTTTAAACTAATGTGTAGAAGAAATTCTCATGTATATAAACCCTACAGTATAAACTCTAATGTAGATAGTATTGACAGTATATATAATTTTTAAAAGCTTCAAACTGATGTAATTCTTATATTTTATATTTTGTAATAACACATTTAGAATTTTTAAAGGATTAATCATGATGATTAAATTTATTGGATTACATCTACTTGACTTTGGCTCAAGTAATTATTTCTTGTTACTTGAACACTAAAGCTAATATTCAAGATGTTTAAGGAATCATTTCATGGGTTCAGAGGTGTCATGATACTATGATGTAGAGCCTATGTATAGCATGTATATGGACCCATAAATTAGTGTCATGCCAGCTTGAACCTCTGAACTGACTCTTGTCATGTATAAAAACTTTGTATATCTCCAGCCCATAGTACTGATTATTTTTAGCTCATAGACACAATAAATATTTTCTTTAAACACATTGGCACCCAAAACAAGTATTGTGCTTCCTCAGAACCCCAGAAATGATTCCTTAACATCTCTGGAATCTTGCAGTCTTCCAATGTTTATGCCAAGTGTGTTAAAGGAATGTATTTGATCTTTTGTGTTTCTTGATTCACACTGTCAGTAATTCTAATTTTATGTTTTTTTATAGACCATCTCCTTCCTAGACTAGTGTTAACAGAATTTAAAACGAAGGTTTCAGAAGAACACATTGTTACATATAGAAATTACAGAATTCCCAGTATATGTCCTAGAAAGTGATTTTCACTTCACAGGATGTGAGTTGGTGTGTATGTGTTGAGGCAAGGTTAGTGAGACATAATGCTATGGTTAAGGTTCTCGCAATCAGTAACAACTGTTTTCTTAAAAGTCAGGAAATTTAACATTGACAAGGAAATTTTTGGGTTTCTACTCAAGTCAGGAAAAAATTAAAACAAATTTATGAATTTTTTTGTGGAGATGTCGTCAGGGCATTTGCTCTGGGCCCCCACCCTCAGGACCAATATACCAAATAATGATAGATAGATCGATAGATATACTGTACAGGTATATAGAATAAAGACACAAAAACAACAAATTTAAGATGTATCACAACATATTCATTGGTGTGTATATTTTTATTTATAATCTTAGTTTGAAATAAGTAACTTTCATATACAGTACTGAAGGGTGTTAACATGTAATATATTCAAGTGATAATTGTTTTCAAATTATTTAATTTATTTTCATCATTTATGAAAAAACTTTGTTGGCACCATGTAATTCATATTCATTATCCATGTGGATAGTTATTGTGCATTCCTTGATGTTTAATAGTACCTTAAATTGATGCTAAAGTGTGCTTGAATGATACTCAATAAATTTTTTGATGACTATTAATATTGACAGTATATATGTTATAAACATCAATACAGTATTTAAAAGTATGGAACTAAATATAGGACTGTACTGGTAGTCCCTGAGTTATGACTGCCCAATATACCTTCACCTGCACTTACAAATGGGTTCCCAATATATTCATCAAATTTTTTAATTAAAATCCAATTAACATTAGCATAAACAATGTTCTGACTTGCGATCAGGGTCCATGAAGATATCCTTGTCGTAAGCCAGGGACTGTCTGTACTGTTATAATTGATGATGTACCCATTATGATGGAGGTTTGAGGACCACTGGGGCTCCACCCCACGAATCTGCCCCTGGTCCCCCACTATGCTCTGGAGGCCCTGTGTAAAGTCCCCAGGTTGTATGGTAGTGTAAAGCACAGTATCATTAAACCTTTTGTTTTCATAATCAAATTAATTTTTTTATAATACATAAATTGTAAATTCACCTTAAATATCTAGGTCTCGATTTCTCATAGCACACATACTAGCAGGCAAATGAAAGGTGGTGCCAGATGGTATCACACTCAAAACATGTAGATTTTTAACATGGCAATAGAGGTTTCCTTAATTTTATGTCATAATGATTTTGTTTATGAAATGTGTATAATATGTTTCTAATAAATATCACTATTAAAAATCTGAGAGCCTAATTTTATTCACATTTATTTGCATGATAACATTAGAATTTTGTTTTTTATTGTCAAAAATGTGATAAGCTACATAGTTTGTTAGGGCTGAATTATGACCTGGTGGTATTGCCTGTATATTATGAAAGTTTAATAACTTTACTTTAAGAGTATCGAATATTAAAATGGGAGGCAGTGATAACTTTTGGAATTTTCATAATTATTAAATAATTTGATTGATTTTTGTTGTTTGCAGTCATACATTATTAACATCATATTTTGTGCATTCTCGTCTTTTGTCCTGTGGGAACTTTTTGTCAGTTTGTTCAAGGCTTTTTTCACCTCATCATCGGCAGCAGCAGATTAGGGATAGTTGTAATACTGCATACAATATTCTAGTGGAATTTGAGTTCCAACCAATTTTCATGACATCACAAACTGCTGAGTTTGAGCAAGTAAAATGAGAATTGATATATTGTACATATTTATTTTTATTTTTATTTTTCAGATATTTAACAATATATGTCTGAACTTGCCAATTCATTTTCCTATACTTTCTTCTTTGTCTATGTTTGACTATAAGCTACTAACACAAGGGAAATAATACTTTTCCTATTTCCAAGGTAATTTTGAACTATTACAAATGGAAAAATATTGGGAAGTGGCTATTGTGTCATGTCGGATGGTAAAGTAGGTCAAGGGTTATTGAACCTGGTCACTTAGTAAAATGGCCTATAGTTGTATACAGCAGGGTTTGGTTCAGTTAGGTTAGGTATGTCATCAATTAAAACAAAACAACCCTGCTGTATACAACTGTAGGCTATTTCTGGTGACCAAGGTCAATAGCCCTTGACCTATTTCAATGTCTGACCTAACTCAATAGCCATTTCAAAATATTACTACTGTATGTGCTGTTCTTCCAATTAAATAAATATATGATATACCCTATGTATGTTCCATAAATCTGACAAGTTTTCGGTGAGTTCTCTGTGTTGATGACCAGTAAATGTGTAAACACCATAACTATACAAGAAACAACCATATACTGTATTGATGACTGAAAAATTATCTGACCAATATGCCAAATCATTCATAAAGCCTTTGTCACCCTGTTTTACAGTGGACAATGTTGTAGTTTGGGCAAATGTGTTAAAAATTAGTTATTTATAATTTTAACCTAACCTAACCTTAACCTAGCATAACTTAACACGCTAGCTAGTGACACCATACTGAAAGCAGGCCAGGCAGGCTGACGAGGTGAGTAGTTGTGCCGTGGTCTCGGTGAAAGTAGTTTTTCAGAAATATGTTCATAAATGAAAGAACATTAATGGGTTTATTCTTAGCCTGTTCAAGTCAAATTCCTTTAAACAAACTGGAACTATATCCACAACGCTTGAGCCACTTGTGTTTCATATCAATTTTTTTTTATTACACTGGAATCAATTCCTCTCTAGTCTCTTGTGGAGGGAAGGATGCTGTGCTCTTTGAAAAACTGGAGGGTGAGGTTGTCTTTCCCCCAGAATTCACAAATAATGTCCATACAGACTGGCGACACCCTTCACATGTCATGGTGAAATTGGAACTGGCGCAGCAGAGCATGGTGGAGTGTTTTGAAATGCGTCAATATGATTGGTTGTTTACATCTGGGATGCGGCATCCCACATCACCGCCAAGAAAGACAAGTAGTGTGTGCCTAGTAGCCTAATTATCTACCAAACGAAGCATTTGCCTAAAAATGAATATCATCTCAGAACTCGCCAATGAAATATAATAAGAAAAGAAACATCAACACAAATAATGTGTCAGCGGATATCTGGTCAATATTAATCGGAAAAAAATGCTATGATAAACATTAAATTGATTCATAGCATATCAAATACAATAGCACATACAGTATTTTATGTACCAAAAATAGCTCCTTCCATACTCAATCCATCCTCTGGGTGATTTATTTGGGCCCCAATGGGCAACCTATTCTTGGTGCCTCCACCCACCCTGGTGCCCTCCACCCACCCCTGGTGCCCTCCACCATCCTGGTGCCCGTCTACCCATCCTTGGTGCCTCCCCTGGTCTCCACCCACCCCTGGTGCCGTCTACCCATCCTGGTGCCGTCTACCCATCCTTGGTGCCGTATACCATCCTGGTGCCCTCCACTCACCCTTGGTGCCCTCCACCCACCCCTGGTGCCGCTCACACCCATCCCTGGTGCGGTCTACCCATCCTTGGTGCCAGATACCCATCCTGGTGCCTCCACCCACCCCTAGTGCCTCCACTCACCCTTGGTGCCCTCCACCCATCCATGGTGCCATGCTCCACCATCTTGGTGCCTCCACCCACCCCTGGTGCCTTCACCCACTCTGGTGCCTTCCCCCACTCTGGTGCCCTCCGCCACCCCTGGTGCCGTCTACCCATCTTGGTGCCTCCACTCCTGGTGCCTCCACCCACCTGGTGCCGTCTACCTATCTGGTGCCTACTCACCCCTGGTGCCCTCACCCACAGTGCACCTCTCCTTGGTGCCCTCACCACCCCTGGTGCCCTCCACCCACCCTGGCTCCACCCACCTGGTGCCCTCGCCACCTGGTGCCGTCTACTATCATGGTGCCCTCCACTACCCCTGGTGCCCTCCACCCACCCCCTGGTGCCGTATGCCCATCCTTGGTGCCCTCCACCACCCCTGGTGCCTTCCACTCACTGGTGCCACACCTGGTGCCCCCACCCTGGTGCCTCCACCACTTCCACCCACTCTGGTGCCTCCCTCCACCCTGCCATCCTTATCCTTGGTGCCCTCCCACT